ACACTTTGAGTCATTATCAACACCATACATTCAGTTTCTGCTCTGTAACTTGCAGCGTTCCACTTGGAAACTTCACAGCCTGCATGTTCTCTTCCTTAGAAAAGAAATCCCGAGTCCCTTGCATAAACTTTTGTTAGTCCTCTGATGCACTCCTGTTTCTCTGGCATACTCTAGTTGCAGGGAACAGCTGAGCCTGATGGATGCCACACGAACACAGGAGCAAGAATGACACCTGTCTTGCACTGATCAGACCCTCAGACCCTTTGATAGGCTATAACGATGCTCTATAAAACAGAGGCCCTTGTCAAACCGTCCAGGGCAAGGCACAATGAGCTGTTTAGTAACATATCTACATTTACATGTCCCTGATCTCATACTAGCACACCACTGCTGGTATGGCTGAAACAGGAGGAAGTAGAAATGAAGCTCCATGAAGCTGTGTCTAACAGGTCGATGTTTAATGAACAGAGGAGCAAAATGAGTACTGTTCCATTTGGCGTAAGCTGTGCACCAAATCTGAATGAAACATTTAACATAAGTGGGATCCTCACACAATCTGTCAAGGCCTAAAGAAACAACAACATCGTCTCTGGCTCTGAGTGTTCCTAAACTGGAAGCAGGAGAGCCCTGAGGAAGCCTCTCTGTAGATTTATTTCAATATTCTTCCCAGGACATCTGCTACTGGCTGCTGACACAGATTATTCTGGGCTAGACATACTTTGGTCCAACCCAGGATAGCCTCTCTTATATGCTTATCCGATTCTTCATGAACGACCAGGAAAAACTCCTTTCCCAGGAGAGAGGTGCAGCCCTGGGACAGGGCACCAGGGAGGTGGGGGGTGAGTTTCTTAGGTGCGGCTGAAGGCACATGGCAATTTAACAACATAGAACCATGGAATATCATTGTCATATCCTGTTTTTTCCAAGAATCTTTATTTTACAAGTTAAACGCATTTTGACTGCAAGTCTCTGCCTTGAATACAGAAGAGGCTTCCTAGCTCATAGCTTGCAAACAGCTGTCATATGGAAAGGAACTAAGCAGAAAGCAGATCCTAGCTTCCTCCCCTTGAGCTGTGTTGCACTTTTGCAACAACTCCATGCGCCTGAAAAATAGTGAAGCAGCAAAGCAAACATCTGCAAATATCACATTCAGTAGAACATCACTCTGGAGCAGCAACAGAGGACAGACGTTTCTTACAAAAGAATCATTCACTACCTCACAAAAAGATAAATCAAACTGACCTTAGGGTGAATGAAAGTAAAACCTGTGCGAAGAAAACAAGCAATGAGACAGGTCAGGTTGCCTCCACGCTGGTTTGACTTTCCCAAATGTACCAGGGAGGATGAGAGACAGCAACACATTACCAACATTATGTAAAAACATATTACCAGGAGGAAAACTGACAGAGCGACACAATCGAGAAACATGCAGAGAAAAGAACAAGACAAGTCAATTTGGAAAAGTGAGCACTGCTGCTGGAAGAAAGAAGGGAGAGCTCTGACAGGAGAGATAAAGAGACCTTGTAGTGACCAGTTATGAGCCTGCAATATAGGATGCATGTTAGAATAACCAAATATATGCAAGTCAGGGTAATATGTACAGAGGCTTTCAAGAGAAATCAGTGAACATTGTTCTATACCACTGTAAAATGCGTTCAGCTCTGACAACTGTGGTGCCAGCACGACAGTGCTTGGCTTTAATGCTGTGGCCCAGCTCCCGCTTCCAAGAAACCAAAAGATGAAGGACTCACTACAATAACCTGAAGAAGGCCTTGCACGCTCAAAAAATCGGTCCGTTATTTGCACCATTAGCAGTCTGAAGGAAGGTACCACATCTCCACGCAACTGTCGTCTCATCAATGAGAAATTTATACTTTATTGCAGCGTGAGCTGGCAGGTCACTCGAGAGGAAGGGAGTTTTATTCAGTCTTAAAAATAACCTCAGTCACATAAGTGATCACCTTCCTGGCTCAAGGCCCCATACCCAAGGAAGAATGTAAAACAGCTACACAGAGGAAGTCTGCCCAGGGGTAGGATAATCAGTCCAGAAGGGGGCCGGTGAGCAATGAGTCGCGCCCCACAAACTATCCAGGGCCATTTCAGAAAAGGACACGGGCAGCTGAGTACGGCAGGGTGCAACACGAGTGAGGAGAGAAGCGGTGGCCCGTCAAGTGAGGAAAAGTTATCTGTGAGATGGGAAGTGTCTTTCAAGTTAGGCAGGGACTGATTTCAGCTGGACAAAGAACGGCCGCTGAAGACACCCCACGAGGACTCGGGGAATCGTCTTCCTCTCCGATTTTCGCTTTCCCCGCACAACAGCAGCACAGCTTGCTCTCAACCCACTCCCCCATCCCCCC